AGGGTGGGATATGACAGTGAATTTACAGGTTACAGAGGAATAACACCTGAGTCCTTAGGAATGGCAACGCATGGGGTGTATCATGGGCGAAACAGTATACTCTGTTATGCCCATGGTACTGCTCATGTCTATAGGCGACGGTTACCATTTTCCATCAAGTGGGCCATCAGTTTGTTTTCCATTCTAAGTTGTATAAAAAAAACAAAGCAGCTACGACATAGAAGGCTGTCTATGTCTACTGATAATTGCTACTATTGATAAAAACGAAAAGAGAACTAAAAACCTGTTACTTTACGTTTGACATGACACAGATACACACTTCTCCTAACGAAGATACGTCACAGCTGCGAGCAGTGACACTCGCCGCATCATTAAGACGAGCCTGTAATTAGAGGCCCTAATGAACTCATATTTACTCCATGTCTAATTAATATAGTTAGAGCGCGCTTATGCCGAGTACGGATTTAATTAGTTGACGTTTAAACATTAGACCTTCTGGTTTATTGTATGTTGCTGCTGAAAATCGGTGCTGTATACTGGATGGAAGGGACAGGTTTTTTTTAATGGATGATAATGGAATGGTAACCCCACCCGCGCTATCGGTATACACCGGCTGGTCACCAGTGAGGGATGATAGGTGAGTATGAAGCGGGTCAGTTAGCCCATCGTGACGAATTCAACAAGAATTTTTCACGATGGTTTCCAGAAGGAACCACGTGGAGGTCGACCTAATATGGCCGTATGTGGCTTCTATTCTCAGATATGGTATCTTAATATGGGGCAACTCTGTAGATGCAGCAAGAGCTTTTATTGCCCAAAAAAAATGTATTCGTTCCATATGTAGAATATCTCAGAGAACAAGCTGTAAACCAAGCTTTAAAACATTAAAAATATTACCAGTGCCTAGTATGTATATATATGGATTATGTATATTTGTAAAAACGCACCCATATTTATTTGAAGTTAACTGTAACGTAATTGATAACTATCGTAGAAGATTCCCAGATAAACTGGTGCTGCGCGCAATGTCAACAACATTGTATAGTGACAGCTGTTATCCAATGGCAATACGGGTATACAATAAGTTACCTTCAGAAATAAAGGATCTTCCGATAGAGAGATTTAGATCAAACTTATTTCACTTTCTTTTGGAAAAGTGCTATTATACAGTTATTGAATATTTAAATGACAAAAAATGTAATAAAAGATGTAATGTATTAAAAATTACTTAAAATATAAACAATAAGTTTATTGATAATTTGACATAGAGAATAATGTAATTTGGAAAATGTTTGGACTTATAATTGCAATATGTAATGTAGACTTAAAACCATTTTAACATTTGCATACCTCTGCGGGGTGCTGCATGTTATGTGCCTGTATATGTATGTAACGTCTTATTGTACCATGTAGCAAGCAAAAAAAAAAAAAAAACGGATATGTGCATAGGGGCTATGCATAATAGCAATGGGGCTGTCGAACTCCATTGCTAACAATCTAGATTATTCTCCCACCAAAAATGCACCATAGCCGTATAATTAACGATTCTGAGTTTTGACGCCGCGCAATGTATTTGAAATTTTACGATCCACACGACGCACGATACCTATGTATATACATAGCTCGGCGAATGGCGCTTCTTCGTGGTTAGTTTCATACGCTTGTGGCTTTGATCTCACATTTTGCGCTGATTCCGCGCATCCTGGTAGAATTTTAATACGAATATTACATTGCTGTTTTTTGTATTTCATAGTATTTCACTATAGAATAATATTATTTCTTTATATTACGACATAATATTATAGATTACATTATTTTAAATGAAAAAAAAAAACAGAAAAAATATTTGAAATTTTCCCGAAAGAATTTCGACTAGTTTTCAATTCAGAATAATAGTCTGATTTCACTAATTTATTTTTTGTCAATCTGTGCTTTGTATCCCGTATAGGACAGTAAAAGATTTGCAGACTTTGTTGACGTTGACTTGAAGTATTTAGGAATATTTTTGAAAGTTTTTATACTATTCAGATGACAAGTATACGGCCTGCCTGATGGTAAGCAGTACTGTAGTCTATATCATAAGAAACCGCGTCGGATCCTTCGCTATTTACACAAGGGAGATTTCGTACGAAACTCGTTTGCTTGGGTACCTTTGTCACATTTATATTTCAACTGTAAAGCAGTTGTGTTTGCTGCGTTTCGGTTTGAAAAGTGGGATATGACAGTAACTTTACAGGGTGCAGAGGCATAACATCTTAGTCATTAGAAATTATATATATATATATATATATATATATATATATATATATATATATATATATATATATATATATATATATATATATATATATATATGTATATATATATATAATTATTCATTAATAGATTGTTAACCCGTTTTACACAATCTATTACAAAATTTAGTAAATCTTATATATTATTAGTTTTTTTTTTATTCTAAATTATTATCAATTTCTTTTAATGGTTACACAGGTATTATTTTCATATAATGTGTTTTTCTAAAAAAATGTTTTATTAAATTCTGAGCATTATTATTGACAATGTTGCTGTAGTTTTCAATAGTATTTGTTTGTTTAATTTTGTTTATATTTGTTTAATTTTGTTTAATTTAGTACTGTCTAATTTTGTATTTCGTATACTTATATTTTATTTTGTGCAAATTCTAGTGGCTACCAAATTACTATTTAAGTATATAATTATGTATTATTTTTGCTGTTTATTTGCTTTAAATAAATAAATAAATTATGCACAACCAAATCCGCTAGATAGAAATATTATGCTATACCTTACGCAGACATATATAAACAAACACCTGTATAAGTAGAGTGTAATGCTTTATACTATGAGTATAAAACAAGTTTTATGGACAGCTTACACTGTAATAAGTGGAATAATATATTTTTTATTATATACCTTTTGACGTAAGATGGCGCTACCTTCACGAGCAATAGCAGAAGTAGTATTTATTATACTTACATTTATTTAGGTATCTAATAATATTGTTATAAATATAATAGTTCATTTTTATTCATGACCTCTTAGCGGCTTAACGACTTGATCAATTATATTGAAATTTGGGGTACACATAGTTTATGGAATGGACATAAGCTACAAATATTTGTTATTTATTCATCATCATGCAGACGAAGCCATGTTGTATATCATCATCATCACATGTACCACAAGAAGGAGCACCACAGTACCAGCTCCTTCCTTTAGACCGGCAGTTCGAATTGTTGACGATCGGCGCCTTACTGTCCGACTCGACCTATTGAATCTGCGTAGAGATATTGCATCTCTGTACATCTTCTACCGAAATTATCATGGGCAGTGCTCTGAGGAATTGTTCAGATTGATACTTGCTGCTGATTTTCGCCATTGTACAACTCACCATAAACTAAAATTTCATCCCAACCATCTGGACGAGTAGCGGACTTCTACCGTGCGTTTTTCAAGGCACTTTCTTCCACGCACAACCACTCTTGAATCAATTTCCAGCAACAGTATTTCCGAACCGATACGTCAACATAACCTTCAAGAAAAGAGTATATTCCTTTTTAAAAGGCCGGCAGCACACCTGCAATGCCGTTGGTGTTGTCACTTACCATCAGATGAGCCGCATGCTCGTTTGCCCCCTGTGTTGTAAAAAAAACATATCAAACGTTGACTGTCCTGTGTTGAACTTAAATATTCTCTCTTACCAATAGTTGCCTTTTGTGATATTTGCTTTTGGTGATATTTTTAGAGGCATGTTGCTGCCCATACCTCGACAATTAAATTTCTTTAGTCGCCTCTTACGACACCCACGGGAAAGCAAGGGGTGGCCCATTCTAAGCTGGGACAATACGGCCTTGTTACACAGTTAGGCATCAGTCACACGCAGTCAAAGATATCATTGTCCATTATTTCAGCCATTCATTACTGAAAATATGCTTTGCCCTAAACAGAGCGAGGGGCAAGGGTTGAGGTAGATGATATTTAGATTCTGGGTGACTGTATCATTAAGTCGGCCATTCATCGATAATAAAAACATACCAACGAATGAACCATGCAAAAATACATATCCCATTGTTATATACAAACCTATTCTTTAAAATCCGAGAATATTAATGGCATTATGAATTCGCGTCCGACCCGTATCACCGTAGCATTTGGCCGATGTTTTTTTCTCTATTCCCATCGTTTTTATTCCATTCCAAAGCAAAAATCGTTCATCATTAATCTTATTCAAACCCAGCGTTCTATTAAAATGATTTCGCATTTAAAACGGCACGGGATTCAATAGAAATGAAAACGTATAGCCAGCGCTTTGATTAATTAAAGAACACTGTGCTTTGGAGAGGACTGTTTTTGTGACATTCCAAGTGTATTCAGGCCTTCGATAAACATCAATCAAACAATCAGCCTTTAAATGGCAGGAGAAAGTAAACAAATAGATAAATAGACGAGACTTGCACGATCTAATTTTGCCATCTCCCATCTAACAGCGAATTACTTGTTGATTACCAGGAATTCAGCCTTACGTCGTAGAAGTTCTACATATAAGCACTTTCGTTTCTAATGCGAAATGCTAAGGAATGCTCTTCCCTTCCTGCTTCTGTGTTTCTTGAGAAATACAATCTGGGTATCTTTTTTTTTTTATACTACTTAAAATGGCAAACAAGCTGACGGCCCACCAGATGGAAAGTGGTAACCGTCGCCTATAGACATGAGCAGTACTATGAACATAACAGACTATACTGTTTCGCCCATGATACCCATCCATGCGTTGCCGTTCCTGAGGACTCAGGTGTTATTCCTCTGTACCCTGTAAATTCACTGCCATATTCTACCCTTCAAATTGAAACACAGCCATGCAGACACTACTGCTTTACAGTTGAAACATGAATAGGACAGAGGTGCCTAAGCAATCGACTTTTGTACAAAGTCTCTGATAAGTTTATTTGCTATTCTAAGTATCATATTTTTCTGTTCACCAGGGAAGCCTTACCGAACGGCACACTGTGGCTGGGAGCGTTCTCAGCAGCCCAGTACCGTAGCGACGTTCACGCCGCTGTGTACCGCTGCCGCGCCGCCAGCACCGTCGGGGCCATACTCTCCAGGGATATGAGGCTTGAGGCTGGTGAGTGATGGAATACTACGAGCAGTACGTGACGATTAAAAATGTATTGTTCATGCCAGAAGAAACCGTCTGCATACGTTCCACTCGATCTACCACCAAGCGGCTGTACTTGCGTGTGGTATGTGGTATAAGGTATAACATTTTAGTCCTTAAAAGTGGTAACGTAAGACGTAGCATGGACGTTACAGTGTAATCCATGGTGCTGTGAAGTTGATGTTTATATATAAATCCATCAAGTAGGTGTCCACCAAGTGGCTAATTTGCCATATAATCCTTTTCTAATATTATAAAAATGAAATTGAGTTTGTTTGTTACCTATTAGCACCTTAACGTTTTAACCAATGACTATGAAATTTTATATTGATTATATGATATGGAGAAGATAGGATACTTTTTATTTCAATCTGTGAATATATTCCAATCGCGCAAACATAGTCGCGGGTAAATGCTAGTCATAATATATACATTATATATATATATATATATATATATATATTCGTACAGCACTCATGCTATCTGAAGGCTGGAAGAGATCTCTTTCAGAGCTAGATCTACTCTTGTAATACTCTCTTACAATGTTTGAACTGTATTACCTATATAATTTACAAATACAATAAAGAATATATATGAATATATGTAACTATGTGCTAATACCTAATACGTGGGCCAGTAATATTGCAGCAGAGAGAGGCTGGCGCTGCGGCGGACGTTGCGGTATACCGCTGCGCCGTGCCATCCGTAGACGAGCCAGAATTAGCTGGCAAACTTCTAACATAGATTACGCTTTATGATATATCTAAAGATAGTAAATATATTCGCATAATGACAGTAGATTATTATTTATATTTTGGCGGACTATTTTTTTATGTCAAAGCAAACCGCGCTATTTTCCAGTGTTGCTAGTAATTAGATTAAAAATTTCCCAGATCAGGTGGATTTGTTATATTTCAATTTGGAACTATGTATTAATAATGATTAATTGATATTTGGCTGTGTGGTCCCGGAATGGAATAGGCCACCATTTTTTTCCGTAGGTATCGTAAGAGATGACTATAGAAGGACGAGGAATGGGTAACAGCGTCTCTCTTAGAACATCTTTGAAGCATAACTGAAGTTGCTAATCTGCCTGGCCACCGTGGCAACTATAGGCAAAATCTCCCAAGGGGGAGGCTTATGCATTAGACATTTAAAAACTATTATAATGACAATATGACGAGACAAATTAAAAATACATCAAAGAAACTAGAAAACAAATGCAGTAGTTTTAATTTCTCTATCAGTTTAGAACCAATATGTGTACTGACAATTTGAAGAACTTGGGAATTTATATTAAATAGAATTTATCGAACATATACAGCGTATATAGGAAAAAAATAAATTGGAATCTGCGAAGCAATATAAAAATATTAAACAGATTTCTCCATAAAATTAATCTCCGACACCTCTTAGGAAATTCCCGTCACGGCAAAATGCCCGTAATCTCGGCTCTATCGGAATTCGGCGAAGATGAGAATCTTTCGCTGTCAATGCTGTCACGGATTATGTAACAGATACGACACTCCATTAGATTTATTAAATTAAACTCTTACTTTTACCACGTGAGGATGTTTTTTTTTTCTAGAGTCTAATGTTTCTAGATTGCCTGTGTTATAGATAAAAACCGAAAAGAATAGGTTATGCGATTATACAGAAACAAATAGGTATTATTATTAATCATGTTCGGTGTAGGTTGATTACCGTAGCGCCATCTATGGCTTAATATATTAAATTTAAGCATATTAATAATTAATTATCTTCATACATGTTCCTAGTGTGCATTTATGTGGACTAACTAGATTTTATTCGAGACTTAGTCTACGGGGCCAGGATACGTTTATTGTCCGAAAAGAAAAGTAGCCTAAAATTTTATAATTGTTGGCTGAATAGTTTAGGTTTAGACTTTCACGTATCTATTAGTAAAAATACTTGTAGAACTACTACGAACTTTTCATTGTTACCTCTAATTCTTACCCAATGGAGACTGTATCCTGAATCGAGACCTCTACCGAAGAAAATCGATATACGATTTTCTTCAGTAGATATTATTTCTGGTTTACGTATTTTTATCACGTATTTTGATACATACTTACTAGTCATTTCGCGACGTCGCCCTCGTGAACCTGTTACTTTCCGTTTTCGTGGAAATTTCTTTTCTTACTGAAATATCTTTAAATACTTTAGCACTAAATGAAAATAACCGTGTTTTGTTGGAATTATTACAGAAATATTTTCTTTTAATTTCGTTAAATTTTAATTAGTAACAAATTGAAGTAGACAGTCATATTCAGTGATCATTATTACACAAAAAAATCATCATGCATAATATACAATCCTTAATGTAATGTAATGTAATGTCAATAATCATTAATATCAAAGTTAATACTTTAATACACTATAAATATACTAAAAAAGAGACTTCCAATAGAAAGGTTTTAATGTAAAATATAATACTTACTCTATAGGTAATAGGTAAAATAGTACAGTCTGCCCTATCTACATCGTTATTTATTCTTTTCACTTTTCACCCTCTGTCCAATCTGATGTCAGGAAATCCCTCGTTCCATTAGAGCCCTTTTTGTATCAATAAGCACTAAAGAAAGTTTTTGGTCTTTGTCAATATGGACTCGCCTACGTTTTATTTTATTATCAAAATGTACAGAGTGTACAGCGCTTTTGTTCTTTAAATTGAATTTTCATCTACTAAAAATAAAAGTATATATAATTTACTAGCTATACCCGTGATTTAGTCTGTGTGATTATGGAAATTAATTCGTAAAACAATGTAACTGTTTGGATCTTTAGGGGACTTTTTTAATACCTAAAAATTTATTACAATACTAGTGAATGGGAAAGACAGAATTTTCCAAAATATATAGTCTATATTATCTTTTTTTTATACAAAACCGTCGCCTATAGAGATGAGCAGTACCATGGACATAACAGAGTATACTGTTTCGCCCATGATACCCCCCATGCGTTGCCATTCCTGAGGGCTCAGGTATTATTTCTCTGTACCCAGTAAGTTCACGCCATATCCCACCCTTCAAACCGAAATACAGCCATGCAAACACAACTGCTTCACGGTTGAAACACGAATGGGACAGAGGTACCCAAGCAATTGACTTTTGTCACTTTATTACAGATATATTATATTAAAATATAGATTTCTAAGCATAACAATATATTCATATTATGATCACTTAATCCATTTTAGAATCTCTCTATGATACTGAACGTATTATGGGGGAGGGATTGTTAGTAAGTAATGCGGACTACCAGTTCTATAGCTAGCAATATACGCTATCAGGTCGACCTCTACATGGTCCCCTCTGGTAACCATTGTACTGTATTCCAGGTGTATTCATTACGATGAGCTAACTGACTTGCCTTTTCATTCTCAGCTATCTCACTGGTGCCTCGTTAGCATATACCGTAAGCGCTGGCAGAGTTACCATTCCATTATCATCCATAAAAAAAATGAATATGTTCGTGGCCATAGGCGACGATTACCACTCTGTTGATGGTAGGAAAAAGTATTGATATAACAGTAGGTAGTGTGCAAATAAACTTGTTCTTTTTGCGATCGTTAGCCTAGTGTGACATCGTCAACATTATTTACTTACGTGATTGCGTCCAGCGAAAGAATTGAATAAGCGGCCTCCGGCTGTGAGCGCGACGCGACGTGACCTGTATGTTTATATTCAATCTACGGACCCGTGGGCCGTGTGACGAGCATGTCAACTGGGAACAGGCAAGAATGAACATGTACCCGCATCTCAGAAGGTTTTTTTCGCAGCCAACTAAAATATATTGCAATTGGGAAATGAGACTTTGTATTTATTTTCTTATAGAACTTGGATTGGCAAATGATATCACGGTTCACTGATGGAAAGTTTTAATCATCGTTTATAGATATGGACAGCACCATGAAACCTGCTTCTAGAGAGGAAAGTGGAAAGGAACAAGTAGAACTAGCTCTATGCTCATAATACCTCTTAGGCGTAGTCATTCCTGAGATCAAAGGGTTTAAATTTCCGAATCCTAAAATTTCATTACCATATCCCATACTTGAAACTATAATAATAATAATAAACTTTATTATTACAGGCTACAATGGTATAATTTGTTAGTAACATAATCTTAGCCTAATGTTAGTACATCTTACAATGAAATAAATAAATAAAAGAAATAGTAATAATAAACAAATTTGGTCACCGCTGAAGCATCCAATTTGAGATACCAAAATAGTGACCAATGTAAAGGCAATCTAACCTGCTTTCCATTAAATTCATACTATTAAATTATTATTTCTTGTAGAAATAATAATAAATAAAAGTGTATACATTTAAGTAGATCATCAAGAATTGAAATTGTGGGTAATTCCCACATGTGGTAATATTCACAGATGTAGTTAGAGCTGAAGAACCAATTTTCTTTTCTAGTTGACCACTTGCTATCAGTTTTGGGTCAACCCCTACTGACCTAATATTGAATTCTTCTCTTTTACCCCCATTTTATTTCACTTACATGGACCCATCGCAGGTCGTAGTGTTCCCCGGGGGTCGATGTGATCACTTTGGGTATGATCAAGATAGAGGCATCTGTTGAATGCTGCACTTTGGGTGTAATATTTATCCAACGTGGTAGGGAAAAAGCTATTTTGACTAATAATTTAGTGTGTTTTGTTTGATTTCCTTCATTTTAGAGATTTCTTTTATGTCGCATAATAAGGCGTCAAATATATATTGTTAAGTTCAAACGAACTTTTGTCTTTTTTTTTAATTACTGTAAAACTATTACTTTAAATTTATAACTATATAATACATTTGAATATAGAACAATAAGAAAACGTATATTTTCCAGCACTTCTTTTTAGATAATTATATTTAAAATATTTAGAAAAATTTATATTACCTACCAGAATAGAGTTTTCTATTTTGAATTGCCAAACGTAGAAACCC